TGCTGCGTGGCAGCACCGTCTTTGGTGTTTTGCCACTGAGTGGCAGCACCGTCTGACGTGTTCTGCCGCTGCGTGGCAGCACCGTCTGACGTGTTTTGCCACCGAGTGGCAGCACCGCCTGACGTGTTCTGCCGCTGTGTGGCAGCACCGTCTGTGGTGTTTTGCCACTGAGTGGCAGCACCATCTGACGTGTTCTGCCGCTGCGTGGCAGCACCGTCTGACGTGTTTTGCTACTGCGTGGCAGCACCGTCTGACGTGTTTTGCCACTGTGTGGCAGCACTGTCTGACGTGTTTTGCCGCTGTGTGGCAGCACTGTCTGACGTGTTTTGCCGCTGTGTGGCAGCACCGTCTGTGGTGTTTTGCCACTGCGTAGCAGCACCGTCTGAAGTGTTCTGCCGCTGTGCGGCAGCACCGTCTGACGTGTTTTGCCGCTGCGTGGCAGCACCGTGCATCGTCGTTAGCGTTTGCGATCATTGCTATCTGCACGGATGTTCGGGGGTTGGCGGGGCGATTCGGGGGAGTGCGCAGCAGTGATATACCATGATGCGTATCTATCTCGCGCGTGTAGAATTAATAGCGTGTAGACAGTGAGAATTAATAAATGTGTCACATTTGCATATATATAGATCGCCGAGGACTTGTCATCATTTTCTCTGCACTTATTAATTATGTACGAGTGTGTGTGCATGTGTGTGCATGCGTACCTACGTGCGTGCACGTGTGTGTGCATGCGTGCGCGCGTATGTGTGTGTGTGTGACTGCGTGTGTGTGCGTGCGTGCGCGCGTATGTGTGTGTGTGTGTCAGTGCGTGAGTGCGTGCGTGCATGCGTGCGTGTCTCATTCGTTGGCGAGGGTGTTATATGTATGACTGGGTGTGTGCTGCACTTCCATCGCTGTCGTCCATTGCTGTTTCCTTATTGCAGGGCCTATGGAACCTATCTCACCGCACCTGTACGATTGTCCTGCCACCTGGTGTAGAACAGACGAGTTTTCGAGTATGCCCTCCTGCTCTGTGATCCTATAAAAGTTGGCCGTTGCCTAAATTCCTATAAGAGCTATCACAAACTTTCACACACACAGCGATCACTAAAGGCCACGTGGAAAAGTTCTGGAGAGTTCTGTGCGAAAAAAAGACGAGAGGTGACCATAGCTTATTCAAGTGATTACGTCACCCTAAATAGTAAAAATATTTCCACTTTTCCACAAAATGCAAGTAATTCTGTTCACTTTTTATGGTTAAATTGCTGCATCATACTTCCTATTTTACTATATTGTTCGATGTAAACATACACTCGTGACTCATACATAGCCAATAGCCAGCAATTAATGTCAGGATCATATAATATCAAAAGTCGTCCAGGTTTTTTGGATTTTTAACTAATTGAGAAACAATCTTATCAGGTAAGAATTTGACGATACGTTTAGTCCCGTTACTACTGGCAAAAAATGGCAACATTTTTACAAATATACACCATAAAAAATTAGAAATGAATTTATTGTGCTTCTCTTTCCTTTCGCTTGCGAATGGTAATGGTGCATAGGGGAACAGATAAAACCATATCTGATGGCTGTGGATGAGAACGTAATAGAATACGGAAATGAATATGAGTCATTGACGAATAGCATTTATTCATTCATTCGTTTATTATTCATCGAGGTCTGGAATCGTTCATAAATTATTCTAACACTGAGCGGGTGCGCAGCAAAGCTGTCACGTGCTGCCATCTAGTGTCAATCAAGAGCAAAGAACGGTTTCCACATTTTTAAACTGAAAGAAAGTCAATTTCGCATTTGAAGACGGATAGAAGATAGAAATATTCTATCTCTATTTCTATCTCTAATTTCTATATACTAACTGTATTATATATACTATTATATATTATTTAGAATACCATTATGTATTCGGTTATGCTATATTTAGCGGTTTCACAC